AGGAGTGGGAGGGGGAGGAGGGGGAGCAGGAGCCCCAGGAGGAGGAAGTTGAGGAGGAGGAGGAGGAGGAGGAGGAGAAGAAGGAGGAGGAGGAGGAGGAGGACGAGAAGGAGGATAATGGGGAAGAAGGGTCATATAGATGAGGACGGAGGGAGGAGGGCGGCATAGGAGCGCGGCCGCGGGAGCGTGGGCAATGGGGCCCTGAGAGTCTGCTTCCTTGCTGCTATTTTTTGTTTTCCGGCCGTATCAATGGCGGCCGCGACGCCAGCTATGCCTCGGGCAGTGCCAGCCCAGACCTCCAGCGATCCAGGGCGGAGGCTTTTGTGATGTGCTTCCGCACTTCTTAGTTGGGCTTCCGGGAGGCTTCTCGTCGCCACGGCCGGATTCCTCTCCGAAATCTGGCCAGCACGCACCCTTGGCCAGTTGCGGGGTCCAGGGGCCGATTTTTGCTCCCCCTGACCCGTGCTCCAGCGTCTTCGCAAATCAGGGCGGAGATTTGTCGCCGTTTCTAGTCCCCAGGGCCAGGACGCGATCTGGGACGAAACGCCATGCTCCAGGGACTTCGTATTGAAAGAAGCACGACGCCGGATGTCTGGGAAGGGGGATTACCATCAGGGGGGTCATCGCTCCTCTTGGGGATCGAGGATCTGGGAGAAGCGATGGGTAGATATTCGGTGAGATTTTGTGATGTTTGGCTTTCTCGAGTGGTACTACTGGGGTATGGGGCAGGTCCACCCCCTCGTTCTATGAGGATCTGGCGGCTTCCCTGGTGGTGACCCCCTTTGGTATTGCTTGGGCTACTTCGAGTGGCCCTGGCGGGTGAGAATGACCACCGCCCGTTGGATTTTGAGTTGCAGCTAGACTGAAGCCAAAGCTCTGATGGAAGCCGCGCCCTCTCTCATTCTCCTTCTCTTCCTTATCCTCCTCCTCCTCCTCTTTCTCCTCCTCCTCCTCGTCGTCCTCCTCCTCCTCCTTCTCCTCCTCCTCCTCCTCCTCCTCCATCCTTCATCCTTTTGAATAACACCTTGCCGCATAATCAGCCGTCTCAGTAAGGCGGGACCGGCGTCTCGCTAGAGACTTCCCGCATGTACAGAGCCAGGAAAAAGAACACTTACTCGGATGGAGCAGAGGTCATTTTCAAGATGTGGCTCTCGCCTTAGCACCGCGCACGTTTGCCGTCACTTGTTTGGCAGCTATTTGCCCCTGTGGAGGGTGGGCTGCTTTCCAACCCTAGTTCTCGCTTTAGCGTTGCGCATGTTCGTCTCGAAAGCTTCCAAAACTACACGGAGTGAGGGCTTGTTTGTTTCAACATGTGTTTTAGCTTTTGCGTCGCGCACGTTCGGCTTCAAATTGGTAAAAAATTACACGGAGGGTGATTGCTGGCCAGGGGGGTCATCGCGTCGGACTTCCCCCCGTTTGCACGCTCAATTTAGAACTGCGCAATCGTCACACGGACTGCGGCGCTGCTGATCAAAGTGGGGCACTCGCTCGAGTTGTCCTGGTGGATATCTCATTCTCCGATGCATGCATCAGAGTGGGCATGAGTGGCAGTTGCACGGATGGGAGGCGTTTCCTTTGCAACACGGGGCGTTTGCTTGACATGCTCGTGAGCTTGACCGCCCCACCTACAACATGTCTCGTCGCTCGGCTCCAAGTCGTGGGAGCCTTGCGTACCCTCGCAGCTCCACTCCAGCTCTGGAGCGCACCAGCGTCGATTAGCCCTAGGGGGCCACATCTGAACCCTACCCCTCCCCCCCGATTTTCTGAAAGGAGGGTGGGGCTCACTTCGTTCGGGAGCTCCCGAGCGAAGGGAACCCCACCCTACCCCTCGGCAATCTTGGGGGACAGGGGCAGTTCGGGGCGGCTTCCTCTCTTCAAGCCTCGGGGCTCCCCGCCACGCCGCGCGGCGCGCCCGCGGAGGGCGCTGGTCGCTCGTCGGGCGACGCCCGTGGTCAAAATCAAGTCGGGCCTGTCCCTCTACAGGAGGTGTACCCAAAAATGGTCAAACCATAATCAGGGCACTATTTTTTGAAGATGGTGTGACTCTTTTTGGGCATAAGCTGTTCATGATTTTTCGTCCAAAATCCGCCCGTAGGGGGACATGCCCGACTTAAGGTTAAAAGGACCACCCGCGCGGACCCTGTGAGGAGGGGGCTCGGGACGAGAGGGTGCGCTGCAACCTCGCTGGTGCATCTTGGGCTCGCTATCGTCCTCCTTTGTACGCGGGCTTCCGCAGCGGGGGCTGCAGCGTGTCTTTTTTTTGCGCTGGCCATGCACCAGAAGCATCGAGGCTGTTGCGTTCTATGTGGTCCTTTTCCTCCTCCTCCTCCATCTCCTCCTCCTCCTCCTCCTCCTCCTCCCTCCTCCTCCTCCTCCTCCTCCTCCTCCTCCTCCTCCTCCTCTCCCCGTGTCCTTTCTCTGGCTTCCAAGCTTGTTGGCAGTCACCGCCGTGGTGAGCGTGCCATCACCATCACCATCATTGTTTTTTTGGGGGCTTGGTGCTGGACCGCGGAAGGCCTCCAGAGACTTCGGGAGGGGTGGGGGAGCGCTGCTTCCTCTTCTGGAGAAGGAGGAGGAGGAGGAGGAGAAGAAGGAGGAGGAGGAGGAGGGAGGAGTAGGAGGAAGAGGAGGAGGAGGATGAGGAGGAGGAGGAGGAGGATAGATAGGGGAGCGAAATCTGTACATATCCACTGCCCCCCGAAGCCTGGCCCATGCTGGACCCAGGAGCGGTGTATATGCTTCCCTGGCCAAGCCAGGACGGCGTATACATCGCTCCCTGGCCCAGGATGGGCCAGGCCTGGGCAGTGGATATGCATAGATCCCGTCGCCCTCAACAGAGGGGGAAAGGGGAGGGACGAAGGAGGATGGGGAGGACGGAGGAGGATGAAGGAGGAGGAGAAGGAGGAGGAGGAGGAGGAGGAGGAGGAGGAGGAGGAGGAGGAGGACGGCGGAGTGAGCGCTTGGTGCACGTGGCCTCCCGGCCCGTGCGGGGCGTCCGCCAGAGGGCGGCGGCAGGTCATCAGAGGGCGGCGGAAGCAAGAAGAGAGCGCAGCCGCCGGCGGAAGGCGGCGGAAGGCCGGCGGAAGCTGGCGGAAGCAACGTCGGGGCTCACGGGACGGGGAAGCAACGTCGGAAGCGGGCGGAAGCTGGCGGAAACCCAGAAAATATGTGAAAATATGGGGAATCCTTTCATTTGTGTGTATTCATTTGTGTGTCCTGGGGCCCCTTCAGTTCGGGGCGCAAGAGGAGGGGGTCACTGAAAACGGGGTTCAGTCAGAGCGCCAGATCTTGCAGGATCCTGCAGTGCCAGGGCCGCATTGACCCGTGTTTGGGTGCAGGATGCTGCAGGGTCCTGCAGAATCCTTGGCACTGACCAGGGTTTGGGCGCAGGACCTTGCAGGATCTTGCAGGATTCTTCAAGGCCTGACTGACCCGGGTTTGGATTGACCCAGGTCAGGAGATCCCCGACACCAGCCCCCCCCCCCGTCAGAGGAGGGAAAGGTACCCATACTCTTGCCCTTCCCTCGTTTTCCCCTTTCTGGGCCTCCTGGGAGGCCCTCGTCGCCACCGCTGGATTCGCCTCGAAATCCTGGTCAGAACGTACCTGGGGAGAGGTCCGGGGAGTGGCGGTATCGGTACCATTTTGGTTTCCCTACCCCAGGAGATGATATTGTCTTTGGTTCGAAGAAGCAGAAACGCCATGAACACAAACTGCGGCGCCGCAGGCGCCGCTGGGGGGGTCAGCGCAGATCCAAGAAAACCGCGTGGAGCGCTAAACGTTTGTTTATGATTATGGCGTTTTGTCTTCTTGTATTGGTTCATGTTCTCTTGTTTCAGGTCTCTGGAGCCTGCCATGGAGCCGACGCGCACCAAGATCTCATGCCCAAAGCAGCCTGTGGAGGCTTGGTGCTGGTGTTTGCCCAGATCTCCTCGCGTTGTGACAAGCATCACGACGCGGGGTTTTGGCGACACGAGATCGTCGACAAAACGACTCGGGATGAGAAGCCAGCCACTTGGGAGAGGGGGCCAAACTTCAGGGTCCCACGCCCTAGTTCTGGGAATTTCCCTCCCTTGTCCTCCAGGGCACTTGCCTTCACTTTTGCTACTTGAGCCCTCCCCTCCAGGGGGTACAGTCGGGGCGCTGAAGAAGGAACCCTTTTCGTTGGGGAGGGGCTCCGTGTTCCTTGATTGTTTCACAGCTTGCCCTAGGTTTTCCTCAGGTTTTCGATGGGAAATCGAACCTTCACTGATGGGAAAAAGGGGCCTCGTTCCTTATTTAGGGTTCCTTAGGTCAACGTCCCGACTGTACTCCCACCCCGGTTGGAATTGGACCTCGTTCGTGAACCGTTCCAGATTGAGGTTCTTTGTGGAGGCCAGCAGCCATGCGAGCTTTGTTTATACCTAGTGTATTCGCATTCGCCGCCAATAGCGGGTTCTGCTGCACTGCCTCAGTGGTCTTGGGCATGATAGTCGGGCCGACGAAAGGCGGGAATTGGGAAAGGGGGAGTTACGAAATTTGCTACGCGAGCTGATTCTCACCCCCCCCCTTTGCTATCCCCCCCTTTCGCCCGGCCCGAGATAGGCCCATAGCGATCGCACTTTTTCTACGTCGTGGCATTGTTGACGTGGCTCTCTCCGGAGATCTCCCCCCCTCTTCTGGACCTCTGCTCCTGCAGTTGAGATGTTCCTTCTACTGATCTTTCTCCGAGCCTTCTTCAAAGTGCATGCTGGCCTCTGGCCACGGGAGGGATGATCGAGGCGCTGGGAGCGATTGGGATCATCATGCGTTCACCTGTTTTCAAAAAAAAGATCGTTCCGGGACAGGCGGAGGAGAGGTGGAGGAGGAGGATGAAGAGGATTCGGAGGAGGAGGATGATTAGGAAGGGAGGACGATGATGATGATGATGAGTGATGAATGATGGTGATGATGCTGATGATGATGTTGATGATGATGATGCTGATGATGATGATGATGATGATGATTATGCTGATGCTGACGCTGCTGATGACGATGGTGGTGGTAGTGGTGATGATGATGATGGTGGTGGTGGTGTTGATGATGATGATGCTGATGATGATGATGATGCCTATGATAATGATGATGATGATGATGATGAAGAATATGATGATGATGATGATGATGATGATGATGATGATGATGATGATGATGATGATGCTGATGATGATGATGATGATGATGATGTTAATGATGATGATGATGATGATGATGATGATGATGATGATGATGATGATGATGGCGGCGACGACGACGAGATGATGATGATGATGATGACGATGATGATGATGATGATGATGATGATGATGATGATGATGATGTGATGATGATGATGATGATGCTGATGATGATGATGATGATGATGATGATTGATGAACGAGGTGGTGGTGGTCGTTGATGATGATGCTTATGATGATGATGATGATGATGATGATGATGATGTATGATGATGATGATGATGATGCTGATGATGGATGATGATGATGATGATGATGATGAGTAATGCGGCGACCCGACGAGATTGATGATGGATGATGATGATGATGATGTGATGATGATGATGATGATGATGCTGATGACGGATGACGACGACGACGACGACCGACGACGCCGACGGACGACGACGATGATGATGATTGATGATGATGATGATGATGATGATGATGATGATGATGATGATGATGATGATGATGATGAGGAGGAGGAGGAGGAGGAGGAGGAGGAGGAGGATGAGGAGGAGGAGCAGGAGGGTGAGGACGAGCAGGAGGAGGAGGAGGAGGAGGAGGAGGAGGAGGAGGAGGAGGAGGAGGAGGAGGGGGAGGAGGACGTCAATGTCGCCGATGCCTAGCCGATGCATCGATGAATGCATCGCTGGTGCATCGCCGATGCATCGCCGGTGCATCGCCGATGCCCTGCCCTGCCCTGCCCTATGTCCTGCGGGGTGCGATGACTCGTCGGGGCTTTCCCGGTTCGGCACGAGCTCCCATCTCGTAAGTCTGGGCCTCCCAGACCCCCTCGCGTTGTGAAAAAAAGCACAACGGGAGGTTCTTCGCAATTTTCAGCCTCTCGGGGCCCTTGCCGGGTCTCGGGAGCGTCAAACAACGACTCAGGATGAGAAACCGGTCCCAGGGGAAGGGTCGAGACCTCTAGGGTTCGATTCTAGACCTCCGAGATGGGGTCGGAGTAGATGGGGTCGGAGGATCGCGCCACGTCGCCGATGCATCGCCGATGCGGCTCGATGTGGAGCCCGATTTGCTCCACGCCGATGTCGGCGATGCATCGCCGACGTTGACGATGCATCGCTGGTGCATGTCCGATTCATCGCCGATGTATCGGCGATGCGGCGCAATCCTCCGACCCCATCTACTCCGACCCCATCTGGGAGGCCTGTAGTAAGATGGCGGCGATTCGTTGGGGAATGTGCCCAGAAGGCTTCAGGCCCTGGAGCTTAGGGGGAATGGACGTCCGAGCGATGGCAAGGGAGGGTTCTTTATCTAATGAGGGCAGGGGTGACGTCCATGGCCAATCCTCCATTGGTGCTCCGCCGGCTTCCAGGCCCTGGGTGCCTTATCCAAGGGTTCCTTAGTTTTGTAATTCCCTCACCGTGGTCCTTCTGCTTAACAGTTTCCTCGTGCGAAAGAGTCGCGCACGACATTTGCTACCCTTCGCTCCCACTTGTCCTGGGCTTCACCTGCAATGCGCGATTTGTCGCTCGCGTTGCTCGCATTCTGCAATGCGCAGCATGCGCGTCGCTCGAATTCCGACTTGGGCAGTGTTGTTGTTGTTGATCAGGAGTCGGCCACAGAGTGTCCATTGCATATTGCGCAGTGAATAGAATTGTGGTCGCCCGTTGGTCCATCTGGAGGAGGCAAAGACCGGGAATCAGCTCCACGCATGCTGACCACCCGTCAGCGGACGGGCCTAGAATCGAGATAAACCGGTTCCAGAGCGTTCCAGGACGCTCTCAGAGCGTTCCAGAACGCTCCGAAACGGCCGCGGCGCCCGATACATCCTCCAAACCCGCCGATTCTCAGAGATATCCGATGTATGTTGGTGCGATTTTGTCTCGACTCTGCCTTCGTCTTACACTTCTGGGCATTCAAACACTTCTCAAGGCAGGCCCTCTACAGTCAACCCGCACAGTGAGGATGGGCAACCTTCCCACAGGTTCCCTGGCATCCCTGCCCCTTCTGCCCATCCTCAGCGACTTTCGCTGGCCAACCTCGCTCGAAAAACGTTAGATTGGCCCTCCAAGGCCCTTGCATCCTTACCGCGCATCCTTGTGATACGGGTCGACTCTATCTCCAGGCAGCGCCTGAACTTGACAGGGTCCCCCGGCAGGTTCGCGCCGCGTCGACACGCGGCGGTGACCCGCCCTCCTCTTTGTCTCCTCTTCCTTTCTCCTCCTCCTCCTCCTTCCTCTTCCTTCCGTCTCCTCCTCCTCGTCTTCCTCCCCATCCTCCTCCTCCTCCTCTTTCCTCTTCCTCCTCCACCTCTTCCTCCTTTCCTCCCTCCTCCTCGTCCTCCTCCTACGCGATGGCTGTAATCCTCCTCCTCCTCCTCCTCCTCCTCCTCCGTCCTCCCTCCTTTCTCCTCCTCCTCCTCGCCCTCCTTCCTCATTCCTCCTCCTCCCTCCTCCCTCCCTCCTCCTTCTCCTCCCTCCCTCCTCCTTCCTCCTCCTCCCTCCTCCCTCCTCCTTCCTCCTTCCTCCTTCCTTGTACCGCAAGATCCACCCCCCCCAGGAAAGACCGGCGCCTGATGGGCCTGCCATCTTGACGAGGGCCCCGTCTTGAGCGAGCAACTGCCTTGCATCCTTCCGTCGGAGGCACGCGTGCGGCACGCCACGACCGTACAGTGCAGCGAGGCGTCCAGCGATACCTCCTCATCGAAGGGGGGCCGCCCCGCCCATGGCTGCAGCACGTGCTTTACACTCGTTGCCAGGAGAATTCCGAGGATGTCTCGCGCCAGAGATCCATGTCGGAGACGAGCTGCGCTCGATCCGTGCAGTGCCAAGTGCGTGTGTTGAAGTCTTGGGTCTCTCTGAAGCAGGTCTTGGGCGAGAGCCCCAGCTTGAAACAAGCCGTCTTCCACCCTCCTAGCTGCTGCGTACTTCTGCAACGGATGGGCGCTGCGCTCAGGCGAGGGCCCTACTTTGAGAACGACGTGTGCTCCGACCTTGTAACTGCTGCAACAGTGACGAACGCGCGCGGCGCTCAAGCGAGAGCTACAGTTTGAAGAGGAAGCGCCCTCCATCTCAATGGCTGTTGCAGTGTTTGAACAACGATTGTGCGCGGTGCTACGGCGATCGCCCATTTTGTAAAAACGACCCCGTCCGTCCTTGAAGTTCTTGCAAGTTCTTGAGAATAATGTGCGCGACGCTGCGGCGAGAGGCCGCTTTTGAAAATGACCCCCTTCCATCCCTGCAGTCGTGGCAAAGTTGGAGAACGAGGGTGAGCGGCGCTGAGGCGAGATCCATTTTTTGGAAAGGAACCGCCCTCCATCCTCAACGCAACTGCAACCTTTTGAACATGAAATTGTGCGGCGCGGATGCGAGAGCCCCACTTTGAAAAGGAACCGTGTCCATCCTTGTGCCAGCTGTACTATTCGGAAATCAATGTGGGCGGAGCTTAGGCAAGAGCCCTGTTTTGAGAGTGCTCCCTCCATCCTGGAAGCCGTTGCAGGTTTCAAGCTTCAGGGCCGTCAGTGGTGAGGAATTATCCGGCGAAGCGCCTGGCCCGCCCTACCTTCGACAGGGGGGAATTGTTTAGAAGGCAATGGGATGGAGGAGGGGAGGAGGAGGAGGACGATGGGAAGGATGGTACTGCTAATGAGGATGATGCTGATGATGATGATGCTGCTGCTGCTGATGATGATGATGATGATGATGATGACGATGCTGATAATGATGACGATGCTGATGATGATGATGAGGCTGATGATGATGCTTATGATGCTGATTCTGATGATGATGACGATACTGGTGGAGATGCAGCTGCTGATGATGCTGCTGATTATGATGATGCTGATGCTGATGCTGATGTTGCAAATGATGATGATGATGATGCTGCGGCTGATTATGTTACTGCTGATGACGATGATGACGATATTGATGATGCTAATGCTGATGATGATACTGCTTATGATGCTGATACTGCTAATTGTCATGATTCAGCTGATGATGCTGATGATGATACTCATGATGATGATGCTGAGGATGATGCTGATGCTGATGCAGATGCTGATGCTGATGCTGCTGCTGCTGATGATGATTATTATGATGCTGAAGCTGATGATGCTGCTGATAATGCTGACGATGATTATGCAGATGCTGCTGTTGATGATGATGCTGATGATGACGACGATGCTGCTGATGATGCTGCTGCTGATTATGATGATGCTGATGATGATTATGATGCTGCTGTCGTTGATGCTGCTGGTGAAGATGTTGCTGATGTTGCTGATGATGACGATCGTGATGCTGATACTGCTGATGATGATGCTGCTACTGATGCTGATTATGATGATGCTGCTGATGCTCATGCTCATGCTGATGATGATGATGCTTATGATGCTGCTGATGATGATTGTTATTCTGATGCTGAAGCTGCTGCTGGTGATGATGATGCTGATGCTGATGATGGTTATGATGCTGCTGCCGATGATGATGATGATGATGATGACGATGATGATGATGATGATGATGGTGATGATGATGATGCTGATGCTGATGATGATGATGATGCTGATGATGATGCTGATGATGATGATGATGCTGACGATGATGATGGTGATGATGATGCTGATGCTGATGATGATGCTGATGATGATGATGCTGCTTCTGATGATGATGCTACTTGGTGATGATGATGATGATGATGATGATGATGCTGCTGCTGATGATGATGATGATGATGATGATGATGGTGATGGTGATGGTGATGGTGATGGTGATGGTGATGATGGTGGGGATGCTGAGGATGAGGATGAGGATGAGGATGAGGATTGTGGTGGTGGTGGTGGTGGTGGTGGTGGTGGTGATGGTGGTGGTGGTGGTGACGAAGAGGAGGACGAGGACGACAAAGAAGAGAAGGATGGACAAGAAGGAGAAGGAGAAGTAGGAGGAGGAGGAGGACCTTCTCGTGCTGTTAATCTTGTTCCTGGTTATATGGTCCACCGCAGTAGCGGTACGACCTGGAACGCTTTGGGTTTCTTGGAGGCCACTCGAGGTCCTCTTGGGGGCCACTGGGGAGCGTCTTTGGGGTGTGTTGGGGACCCAGGGGGTCCTATTGTGCGCTTGTTGCGAGGCTCGAGACTGTTGTGAAGTCTCGAGGCCGTCTTGAGGGCGGGTGGATTCGGGGGGAATGGTGGCCTCGGTGCAGCCGTGCTGAACTGACTAGACCCGGTTGTTGCCTCCTACGGGTTTGTGCGCCCTTCAGCAGGATGCTTCTGTCGAAAGTGGTGGATTTTGGGGCGCGACCCCCCCGGCAGTGTCAGCCAGAGTTGCTGCGCAGTTCCGCCGACATTCCCTTGGTGTCGCTCTGTCGTCTGGAAGAAGCAGCTTCATGGCACTCTCGCCTTCGGTCTCTTTTTGTCTTCTCTGCTCCTTCCTGCTCGCGTTGGCTCCGTGGCCTCGACACCGAGATGCTTTCCACCAGGGGCCCACTGCAGCAGACCGCCGAGAAGCTGCCGCGCGGACGGCCATCGAGCGAGCGTGCCGCGTGCCGCCGCGAGACCTGCCGAGCCGTGCGCCGAGCGGCCAGAAGCGCTCCTGGATCCCAGCAGGCGAGCACGAGCGCACAGTAGGTGTAAGTCGAGGAGGAGGAGGAGGAGGAGGAGGAGGAGGAGGAGGAGGAGGAGGAGGAGGAAGAGGAGGAGGAGGAGGAGGAGGAGGAAGGGGAGGAGAAGGAGGAAGGAAAAGGAGGAGGAGGAAGAGGAGGAAGAGGAGGAGGAAGAGGAGGAAGAGGAGGAAGGAAGACAAGGAGGAGGAGGAGGAGGAGAAGGAGGAGGAGAAGGAGAAGGAGGAGGTGGAGGATGTGGAGGAGGTGGGCCTGTCCCTCTACAGGAGGAATATGCAATAAGAATAAACAAGTAGCCTGGGAACCTTCTTCTACCATGTGTGTATATATATATATATATATATATATATTGGTATGAAGTATACATATACATCGTTCAACAAACAACTATCTTTCATTTCTCGCCCATAGTCGGCCTGTAGGGGGACATGCCCGACCTACCAGTAGGTTCGCGTCGCGTTGACGCGGCGGCGACCCCAGCGCGGGTGTTCAAGGCTGAACGCCGCCGGTGGCTCAGACTGGGCCGACACCGAACGGCCTGCGCTGTCGGGAGTCCAGGGTCGTTCGAGGCTGAACGACCCACGCCGGGTCAGAAGCCAGCGCCGGCGTCGGCGAGAACCCGCCGCCGCCTGCGCCTGCACGCCGCTGCTATGGGTGAGGCATCTGCGAGGCCGCCCTGCGCAAGTCAAGGGCCCCGATCGCCCGCGGGGGCGCGGCGGTGTCGACGGCGCTCCGGCAGGTCTCCTCCACGTCCTCCTCCCTCCTCCTCCTCCTCCTCCTCCTCCTCCTCCTCCTCCTCCGTAGCCATTTTGGCTCAAGGTTGAAACCTGCCCTGGGGCTTCAGCCTTGTCGCAGGCGACAGGGAGGCCCGAACCTTCCGAGGCCAGGACGCCTCTCTCCTTCCTGCCGTGCGCCACAGCACGCTCCCAATTTTGGCTACAACGACGCGAGCTGAGCCGCCATGGGCCCTGCCGCCTGCGACCGCCCACACCATGTCGTGCATCGTCTCGATGGGGGTGAAGATATTGATACGGAGATTGCTTCCTCTGGTGGCCGTGATTCCTCTGAGGAACCCCGCCGCTCTGCCTCTCGGAGCGGTGGCAGCCGTGGTGCTCGTCGTGCAGCTCGCGCTCGGCCTTCCTCCCACGGCAATGCTGGCCCTGCTCCTGAGCCCTCTCGCCGTGCTCGCCGTGCTGGCCGCGCTCGTGGCACTGGCGGGGACGTCCCTATGTCTCCTGGTGTTGCAGCCTCGCATCGGGGCCCCGACCCTGCGGCTCTGGGAGCATCTCGCGGTGCTCAAGCTATTCCCTTGGACGAATGGGACGATTCCAAGCGTGCACAGGTGGCTGCAGAGCTCGAGATGGCCGCCACCTTCCCGTCGCAGGAGGCGCGACCCGACCCGAACGCCACCCCGCAGGGCCCTGCTGCTAGGCTTTTCGACCCCTGGGCCGCGGCGGCGGGTGCGGGCGCCACCCCGCGGGCTCAGGTTGCTGCTGGTGGTGCTGCTGATTGTGGCGAAGAGGAGGAGCATGCTGCCTTCACTCGGGCCTTCTACCATGCCGACATCTCCGCGAGGTTCATGCAGCTGCGCAATGAGTTCGACAATATCGTTACTACGGCCATCACCAATTCTGTACAGCAGTCAAACGCTCCCATCGTTGCCACGCTCGCCACTCTTCAGAAGCAGCTTTCCTCGCAGCACACCTCCATTGATCAGCAGGTCATGGCATCGGTGCGTCCGCAGTTTGATACCATGCAGCGCCAGTTTCAGGAGCAGCATGACGCCCTATCCCGTCGTGTCGACTACACTGAGCGGGACATCGAGGCCCAGGCTACCAAGCTGGCTGAGCTGCAGAAGCAGGTCGAGGAGCTACGCCGCCAGAGTGAGCTGGACCGACAACTTCCGTCGCGTCCCCCTGCCCCACCTGGTTTCGACCGCGAGATCGACCCGACGCAGGTCATTGTGGTCTCGTCCAAGCTCGTCGGTCTGGCTGGCGTCCGTGAGGTGGTCAACTCCTTCATGGGCGAGCTCAACTTCTCTGAGGACGACACGTACACGATCAAAGCCCTCACGCCGCTCCCCGCCAAAAAGTTTGCCGTGTGCTTCTCTGGGCCGATCGGCCTGGCCTCCCGACGTGTGCAAAAGGCCCTCGCTAACCTCAAGTCGGACGGAGCATGGCGGGTCTTCCAGTGCCCAGCTCAAGGTGCGGACCCAGCCCGTCTTCACTTTGGTCCTGACAAGTCGCCGAAACAGGTTCGTGGTGAGATGCTCCTTCGTAAGGTCCGTTCTTCCCTCATGGAGCTCGACAGTCAGAGAAAGTGGTTTGTTGATCGGGAGCGGAGTGTTCTCAAGTCTGACTACACCGACATCCTGCGGCTTGTCCCCCGGCCAGGAGATGAACCCCCTGAGCTCTCTTGGAACGACGTGGGGATCCGCGCCCTCGGCCTGGACCGTCGTGACCTCCAGGAGGCCATTCGGAACATCACCGCCGCGCCGTCGGCCACCCAGTGGTGTCTTTGACGCCATCACTGATATGTTTGTGCTTCCAGTGGGGCAGGTCGGCGGAGAGATCACAGCCAGCCTCGCATTCATGACTTGGAATGCACGCGCTCTTCTCCAATTTGGTGGGGCGAAAGCCTCGCCTAAGCTATCTTACCTAAGCAAACTTCAACCTGGGCGATCCATCTTGGCTCTCCAAGAAGTGCATGCAGATCGATTTGAGCTGAACGACTTTGTGGCCAGGCTTTCCTCCACGGCCATTGTCCACAGTAGCTTTTGTGAAGATGACGACGGCGAGGTTATCCGCGGCTCTGGGGGAGTTGCAGTCATTCTTCCTCCTTTCTCATCCACTTCGGTCAGTAGCTGTGCGGTGCCTCTGATCAGAGGCAGGGTGCTTCGCGTTGATGTAGCACTTGGGCAGACACAGCTGGTGATCTTCAACGTTCACAATCACGGCTTGACCAAGGGGGAGGTACAATCTGTCTGTGAGCAGATCGATTGTGCTCTGCGTCGCGCTGCTGATGACCCACTCTCGTACTTTGTGGTTGTCTTGGGGGGATCTCAACTACAGTTACGATTCTTCTCTCATCTTTCACCGACCTACTGGAGTACAGCGCCAGTTGACTCATGATCATAAAGTACATGCTCCAATCTGGGCGGCTACACTTGGCAAGATGATGGAGATTAACTCTGAAGCGGCGACCCATTTCTGCAAGTTCACCAATTCCATCAACATCATCGACCGCTTCTTCTGTTCTGCCACAGGCTGGATGATGTGTCAGCTCATGACTGAGGTTAACACCGTGGACACGCCTGAGCACCTGTGCTCCATGGGCATCTCGGATCATGCTGCTCTCTCGATTCGGCTGCGTCTTCGGGGTGTGCGTCCCGCTGCTGAGCGACCCATCCCCAAGCACATCTTCACCTCTGTTGCTTTCCAGCGCCGACTCCGAGGATTGGTTGCTGATGGTGATGAGGATCTGCTCCGATGGAGCCCACCGGTGGCTACAGAGCACTACAAGTACATGATGAAGGAGGCCGCCAGGGAGGCCCGCGACATCCTCTTCTTCTCGGCCCCTGACCTACCTGGGACGCTTCAGCTGGTTGCTCGTGGGATAGCACGTGCGGTATGGCGTCGAGACGCTGCCCTTGCCCTCAAGCTCATCGAGACCTCCCAGCACGCCGCCGACGCCCTGACGGTCGACGGCCAGGTCGTCTCGCTACGCCACGCCCCGTCCTTCGAGCAGTGGGCCGCTGGAGTGCATCGGCTGGTCTTCGAAAAAGAGCTTGCTGCTGCTGCTGCTGATCGTGCTCCTTCAGGCTCCTCATCTGCCTGGCGGCCTCATTCGGCCACGCTTTTGCGAGCTATGGAAAGGAAGGCCTCCATATGGGCCCCGTTTTCGAAGCGCCTGATACTGTCCGCGGTCAATACTCCTGAGGGCCCCATCTCAGAGGTTCGGGAACGCACTGCGGCCCTGGCGGCCTACTGGACCCCTGTCTTCTCCAAGAAAGAGCCCCACCCTGTCATGACCCAGATGTACCTCGATAGGTTCCTCACCAAGGCCTCTGACATCGACCTGCACTGTCCTCTGACCCCAATGTTTCGTAAGGTTCTCAGGCGTGCTCGTCACTCTGCTCCTGGTGTCGACGGGCTGCCTTATGCGGCCTGGTTGGCGTGCGACTACGGCGCCCAGCACCTGGCCAGAATGTTCGGATGGCTATGCCAAGGTCAGTCGTTGTTTGCCTCTGCCAGCGTCACCCTCCAGGCGTTCCTCCCCAAAGGTGCTGATGACTCAGATCTGCCGTCTGGGGTTTGTTCTCGGTCTCCCGATAAGATACGGGTCCTGGGGCTGCGTAACACCGACGTTAAGATCCTGAGCTCGGTCATGAACAGGGTCCTCGAGCCTGTCGTCCAAGCCGTTGCACCTGCTTCCCAGAGAGGCTTCATTAGAGGACGAAATTTTTGCTACAACGTGCTTGAGCTGGATGTCCATGCACGGCTTGCATCGCAACATCCCCTAGCTGTGCGTCGTTACCCTGTCCTCGTCGGGTTCGACTACGGGCAGGCCTTCCCGAGCTTGTCGCAGTCCTTCCTGCTACAGCTATTGGGCTCTTTTGGGCTCCCCGCCGAGATTCTCGCTTTTGTGGGCTGGATGTATTTGGCTGTTGAAGGTGTGGTCCTCGATGGGGGATGCTACTCGACCATCTTCTGGATCCGCTCGGGCATCATCCAAGGCTGTGGTCTCTCGGGGTCTTTGTACGCTCTCGCCTCCTCCCCCATGTTGGCCGACCTCGAGCGGAGTATTGAGCAACGTCAGTTGGGGATATGCCGTGCCTGTGCCGATGATCTAGGCGCTGTCCTGTATGAGCTAGCCTCTCTGCGCATCCTGGTGCGGGTCCTCGGTGTCATGGAAAAGATTGCGGGCCTCAAGATTAAGATCAGCAAGTGCACCCTGGTCCCTCTCGTCGGCCGCATGACAGAAACCC